ATCCCAACGCACACTGGAGCTCCACATTTCCAGGATTGCAGCCTTTCGAGGCATTCCCATCCATCCCAGACCACAGGGGAAGATCTGGCCTTCCCCCTGCAGTCTGCTTCCTACCTGCCATTCTAGTGGGATTTTTCATTTTTTTTCCCAACCATCAGCTCAAAAACATCATCAAGCCCAAATGTGCTCCCAAAGCAGGCCCGGGAGGCTCATTCATATTGCAGATAAGCCCTTGGCAGACGTGCTGATAAAGATTTCAAGTGTGACTCTGCATACAAATATTCCAGACCCAACAATTAATCCAGCACAGGAGGCTGAGGAGGTACCTGGGTTTTTCCCCTAACCCCAGCCCTTTTTCCCAGCCTGGCTGCAAAATATAGCCCTTGCTCAGAAAACAGAAAGGAATGACATGCTCTAATAAACCACCCCAAAGTGTGATACAAAGAGCCCTGAATTCTCCAGAGGAGCTTTTCCTCCTCGCCTCACCGCTGGTCTGGGAGCTCCCTGCAAGGCACAGAGCTCCAGGTGCCTTTTGGGAGCCAGCCACAGGGTGCTTGAGCTGGCCCTGCTTTGGGCTGGGACCTTATTTCAATTTAAATTAGACATGGCTCGTTTCCCCCTTCCCTCCTGCTGAGGGAGAGATCCCTCTCAGGGATTTTCAGCAGATCCCAGCTCTGGATCTCTGAGCAGTTTTATGAGGGCTGCCCAGGGAGAAGGGGCATTGTAGGGCACCCAGATCTGCTCTTTTCCAGCACAGCCTCCCCACGGCTGAAGCCACATATTTGACTGGTTTTCCACTCAAAAAAACCCTTTTGGGAATGGAGATAGCTGGGAATCCTCCCAGCACAGGCCAGCCCTGGGATGGTTCCTCTTGGCTGTGAGTCAGGCAGAGGAATTGGGCAAACTCAGGAGCTCTTCTGCTTATCCAAGAGGAGAGGGAAAAATGGGATAAATAACCCAGCACCCCCTAAGTGACAGCGCTCAGCCTGTGACAGCCACCAAGGTGCCACCACTCCCTGCCCAGGCTGCCCTGTGTGGCCTGGGGAGGTTGTGCATCCCCAGCCCACTGGGAATTACCAGAGGGACAACTGGGCTTGGATCCACTCTGCTTTGAACAGCACCCCAAGTCCTGAGCAATCCCAAAGCTGCTGTGAGATCCACGTAACACCACCTGCAGATTCCCACCATGAGCAAAAACTCTACAAAAAACTCTCTACTACAACAAAACCTCTCACCCCATTTACCCCAAGTCCCCAGGGTGGGATCCCATCTCAGCCACACCGGGATGGGCAGGAACCCCCTCACCTGGACGCCGCGATCTCCGCTTTCTGCTTGGCGATGGTGGCCGCCCTCTCGGCCGCCTCCACGGCCCGATCCACCTTCTCCCGGATCTTGCTGGCGCGCAGCGGGATCAGGTTCTTCCTCTTGCCGCTGACCAGGATGTTCTGCTTGTACTTGCCCTCCTCCTTGGTGCCGTCAGGGAAGGTCATGCAGCCGTAGCCGTGGCGCTTGTTGTTGGCCCACTCGCCCTCGTACTTGAGCCCGTCCGAGCGCTGGCTCACGCCCGAGCCCGAGCGCTTGTCGTTCTTCCACTCGCCCACGTAGATCTCGGTGGTGGTGGCGTCGATGTCGTCCTCGATGACCGAGAGCTCGGCCTCGCCCTCGCCCAGGCTGATGGTGGAGTTGATGTCGCTGGCGGTGGAGCTGACCGTGCTCATGCCGGCCTCGCTGCGGAACGAGCTCTGCTTGCTCCGCTGGCTGGCCAAGGAGCTCTTGGACTCGGACTTGCGGAGCTTGAGCCCGCTCAGCAGCGAGCGCCGGAAGATTCCCTTCTTCTTGCTCTTGAGGATCTCGGCGTCGCTGTGGGCCATGAGGACGAAGCCGCCGCGGGANCATCACAGAGCACCGCGTTTGGGAGGTCTCTGCTGGCGGGGACAGGGACAGAGCCACGGGGACAATGAGAATCCGAGAGGCTGGAATGCCTGTGCCACTTCACAGCCAGGCAAAGCTCAGAATGGTTTTGGGGATGTTGGCACACACCTGGGCTGTGGATTTGGGATGTTCTGGCTCGTGTTCAGCTCGCTGGAGAGGGAAGGGGTGGGAATGGCCAAGCTGGGATCAGAGGTGTGGGTGAGGGATGGGAGGGCAATGAAAACCAAAACCCCACTGAGCTGCTCTGCCAGGAGTACAATGACCCTGCTGAGGTTTTCCCTCACAAATCTTCATCCCTGCAAAAGGGATTCACTGTCCAGCCTGCCCTGCCCTGGAGGCCGCATCCCAGGGTGGGGTGGCTGTAGGGGACACATCGAGCCGGCCCTGCACAAGCCAAGAGGCTGCTCCTGACTTCTGACACGGCCACAAAAGGGCTTAAGGCTGCAAATCCCTTCTGAGCAGGAAGTTATTAAATTGGCATGGCCGGAGCACGTCAATAGTCACGGTGCTCACATCGCATCACATCCCACAGGGAGGGAGGGATGGATGGACAAACGGGACACTCCGGGATGGCAGAGCCGGGCTGGAGGTGGGAATGAGCCACAGGTGTCCTTGTCACCCCGGCTGAGGGGACACACCCCAGCAGCACCAGCAGCCGATCCTGATGGGATCCCCCGAGCCCTGGCAGGAGCAGGGAGGGAGGAGGCAGGGAAGGGGCAGGGAAGGAGGGAAAGCTCAGTCCCAGCAGCAGCAGAGCCCGGTGGAGGCTGCCAGCCCACGTTCTACTCCTCTTGGGTTGCACAGGGGAGGTTTGGGGCAGAGAGGGCTGGGGGGACAAGGGAAATGTGCTGTGAGGAGAATCAGCTCCTGCCCCAGCTGCTGCCAGCCTGGGAGTCACCTCCATCCACCCCTGAGTGCTCCCTCCCTGACCCTTTGCATCCCTCAAGGAAAGGATGAGGAAGGGATGGAGGGAGCACACTCACCCCACACGAGGCCTGGGGGCTCCAGGTGATGCCCTCAGCGCCCCATCAGTGCCCAGCTCATGGGCTGAGGTGACTCCTGCACACCCCCAGCTCCAGCTGCTGGCAGGGCCTCAGCAGGGAGCAGCAGCACTTCTCCAGAGGGCCATGAGCAGAGAAATCCTCCCTGGACTCAACATTTCCCAGAGGGGCTGGTGAGAGTCCCTGCCCCTCTGGGCATCAGCTCAGCCCATCCCTGCATCCAGCTCAGCCCTGCCCCAGCCTGGCTTTGTGTGTCCCTGCTGTGCTGACCCAAGGAAGGGACACAAAACCCTTTTGGGGCCATTAAACCCACCCCTCCTCTTCCTCCTCCTCCTCCTTGTCCCTCTCCATCCTCAGCAGGAGCCCCTGGGGCAGCACGAGGCGGGATTGGGGTCAGCACCCCCAGGCACCCAAAGAGCAGCAGCAGCAGCCCGAAATCAAAGGCAGCCCAGACAATGGCAGAGCTGCGGGCTCAGGCCGGGCACAGCATTAAACAGCAGCACCACCGGGGAGGGGACAGCCCGTGGGGACATTACCAGGGCTGGGGACATTACCGGGGCCGGGGAGAGCCGGTGGGGACATTACTGAGGCTGGGGAGAGCCGGTGGGGACATTACTGAACACGAGCACACTTTCACATGCATTGTTTTACAGATTCCTGTGACTCTCAGAGCAGGGCTGCAGCAGCTTTGCTTTTCTCTGGGTTTGCCCGAGCTGTGTTTCCATTTTTCTCATTTTTCTCACAAAAATACCTGTTTGGCTCCAAGAACCTCCTGCACTTTGCTGCTAGATATCAGGCCTGGCTGCAGCATCCTCAGGGAGCATCCAGGCTGAGTCCAAACATCCCCCTTGTCCTCTCCTCACTGCCAGGTTGTCTTTATTTCCTTCCTTTTCCTATTTCCCTCCAGTTTCCCTGGCTGGAGTTGAATGACACTGTGCTAATTTGTGGCCCAGCTCCTCCTGAGACTCTGGAGCTTTAATTATATTTTTCTCCTGCTTGGTGCAAGGCTGGGCTGTAATTATGCCAGGGAGAGCATTACTTAGGAGTGACCTGGGAGCAGCATTCCCTCTGGGAGCCGGGGCACTGCCTGCTCCCAGGAATTCTCATTTAAGGTGCTGGGCAGCAGATCCCCCATGCTGGACAGGAGTGAAGTGTTTGTCACATGCCACCCATCCCCGGGACTCATCCAGGGATGGTTCCTCCTTCATAACCAGTCCAGCCACTGGTTCCAAACCCCTGAAATGGGGTTACACGGGTTACAAACCCCAGAAATGGGGTTATGCTGGTTACAAACCCCTGAAATGGGGTTACACTGGTTACAAACCCCTGAAATGGGGTTATGCTGGTTCCAAACCCCTGAAATGGGGTTACACTGGTTACAAACCCCTGAAATGGGGTTACACTGGTTCCAAACCCCTGAAATGGGGTTATGCTGGTTCCAAACCCCTGAAATGGGGCTATGCTGGTTCCAAACCCCTGAAATGGGGTTACACTGGTTCCAAACCCCTGAAATGGGGTTACACTGGTTACAAACCCCTGAATTATGGAAGCAGGACAGATGTAGGGTCTGTCTGAGCTGCCATCACCCATCCTGGAGAGCTGGAGCCAGCCCTGATCTCCCCTGGCATTCCCCTGGGCACCCATCCCTCCCATGCCAAAATCCAGGGGCTGGGCTCAGCTCCCTGGCCCACCTTTGTTGCCTGGATATTTTATTTTAGTGCATGATGACACACCAGAGCCTACTGATAATTTGCCTGAGGTGTCAATTAGCACTAATGAATGGGGCTGGGGGTGTCCAGTGCATCCTTCACCCTTCCAGGGTGGCAGCAGAAATAGTGCAGGCTCTTGGCTGATTGGAGAGGGAATGAAAATGTCCCAGAGCTCTCAGAGAACACACTGAACATTCCTTTTAAACAGGCTGGGAAAGAGTTCCCTCCTTGTGTCCCTCTGAAAATATCATGGAATCGTGGAAAGATTTGGGTTGGAAGGGACCTTAAAGTTCATCCAGTGCCAGCCCTGCCATGGGCAGGGACACCTTCCCTGTCCTGGGCTGCTCCAAACTTTCTCCTGGCCTTGAACCAACCCTCCCAGGGATGGGCCAGCTGCTACCAACAGCAATTCCTCACCCTCATCCACATCCCTTCCTCCCTGCTCACTTCACCTGAACCATTCCAGAGAACCAGAGGGAATTTTGTGCTCTCCCATTTAAATTGCAGCAAAGAACATTTAGGAGAATCTCCTCTTGACCCTAACAGAAATCCCTTAAAGGTGCAGATATCCCTGTGCTCTGCTCACACTCCGCCAACTTTAGGAAAGCAATTTACTTGTCTCCAGCTCACTGTTTTTAGCCTACTTTCCTCAGGAAATGGGGCTCACTCCTGTGATTGTGCTGTTTATATATCTATATGCCATCACTCCCACACTAATAACTTTTGAACGTGTTGGCCAATTCCAACCAAATCTGACAGAGCGGCAGAGTTTTCAAAAATACTGAATTCCTACAAATTTAATGAAAGCCGTGGGTGGGCACATATTTTATATTTTTTTTTCCCCCACCAAGGGAAAGGCTGCAGAGTGAACTCAGACAGAAAGGAATACACACACAGAGCCACACCAAGGGCTGGGAAATTGAGTTTCTGTTGGCATTAGAGGGGGGATATTCCACCCCTGAGCCCCAAAACCTCGGGAATGAGCACCAGGATTCTCCCCCAGCTCTGCTTTGTGGCATTTGGACTATGCAGTTTGGTGTGGGCACTGCAGGGGAGGCTTCCTTCATTAGGAAGCTTTAAAATTAAATCGGACTAAGATTAATAAGAAAGCTTTTCCAGCTGGATCTCAGTCTGTAAAACCTTGCTCTGCTGTGGTTCTGCAGGCTCAGGGACTCTGCCAAAAGCCTCAGGAGGGGGGAGAGCTCGAGCTGAGGGATTGGAGGTTTCAGACAAAGCGGTTTAAGGTAAAAGAGCAGAGATTTACATGGGATATTGGGAAGGAATCCTTCCCTGGACCCACCTAATCCCATCCATCTCCATCCTCCACCCTCCACTCCCCAGCCTCCCTGGGAGGGCAGGGAGCTGCTCACAACTGGCATTCCTGACTCGATTTTTCCCCCTTCTCTGCCATAATTAGAGGTGGAAAATTACATGTCAAGAACTTGTTAAGCACCTCTTCCAATCCCACTCTCATGGCGTTCCAGGATCATCACCACTGGGGGATTGAGGATGCTCAGGTTCTCAGACCCAGCATCCCATGGCAGACTGGGGCTCCACATTTCCAGGATCCATCCCACAGCTCACTGGAGCTCCACATTTCCAGGATCCATCCTCCAGCTCACTGGAGCTCCACATTTCCATGATCCATCCTCCAGCTCACTAGAGCTCCACATTTCCAGGATCCATCCCCCAGCTCACTGGGGCTCCACATTTCCAGGATCCATCCCATAGCTCACTGGGGCTCCACATTTCCAGGATCCATCCCACTGCTCACTGGAGCTCCACATTTCCAGGATCCATCCCCCAGTTCACT